CCTCGGGGGCGCCGGGGCGGGGCCTCCCCCACCGCGGTCTGATTGCGAGTCACCGACGTTGGAAGAACGGACGGAGAAGGGGCGGGGCGAGAGGGACCGCGGGGCAGAGGCATATCTGGGCGGGGCCTCAGTTCGCTGGGCGGGGCCTGGGATCACAGGGCGGGGCGCGTTCCGGGGCGGCACCTGGGTTCACGGAGCGGGATCCGGGGCAGGGCCCGAGATCGCAGGGCAGGGCACGTCCTGGGGCGGGGTCTCGGCCCACGGGGCTGGGCCTGGGTTGGCCGAGCGCGGAACGTCCCGGGGCGGGGCCTGGCCCTGGGGCAGGGTCTAGGGTCTCGGGGCGGGGCCCGGATATCGGGGTGGGACGGGCCTTGGCTCGGGGGCGGGGCGGCGCCTGCGGCGAGGCGGAGCCTTGCTCGTGGGGCCGGACGCGGTCCAGGGAGCCTTTTCCGGCGCGGTGACCTCACTGCCCGCTCCCGGCCGCCAGCCTTCATACCTTTTTCCTGCGCGCCTCCCTGGCGTACCGGGATCGTGGCCGAGGGCACGGTGGCCGGAGCCGCCGAAACACCGGGGAGGGCGGCCCGCGGCGAGGACGGCCGCCCATTAACGGAGACGTGACGCCCGGAGCACACGCCCCTTCCCCTCCGGCCCCTCCCACAGCGCCTGGCCGGGAGCAGAGCCCCAGCCTCCCGGGCCGCAGAAGCCTTGGCTGCCCACGGGTGGGGGCTCCCCTCACCCCCCGTGACCTTCGGGCGGCCGCGTCCAAGCCGGACGACCCCGTCCTCAAACCTGGACTTTCACCCTCTACCGGCCTCCGGCGACCACACGACTGGCTCTCACGGGTAAGGTCCCGCAGGAAGAGAGGGGCGGGGGCGCAGGCGGCGGGGGCTCCCCTGCCCCGGGCTCCGGCCCAGCGGAGAGTAGGGCGAAGGGCCTGGGCCTCAGGGGCGGCGGCTTTAAGTGCAGGTTAAAAATGTTCTCTAATAGAAGTGTAGCTTTCTTTAGGGGTCTCTTCTCAGAAATATTCGATCATCATTGCATTTCCAGGTGTTCAGCAGTATCTGTTACTGTGAAGATCTCTTTCTCACCACATTTCCTAACTAGTGAACACAGGTGTCTAGCGACGCCCGAAAGTATCATCAGATGGTCCTCACTTTCGGAAATGACCAGATCATCTGTTATCCCTCCCTAGCCTTCCTTCATCCCTTTCTTTTGGGCTGCGGGTCTCCAGTACCAACATGCACAGTACTGATGCTCTGGATGCAAATAATTTCTGATTCTACACTCGACGTTTACAGGGCTGGAACCTTCCCTCTTCCAAAAGCAATCATCAGAACCACTTGTTTAATATCTAAACAATAGTGCTTTATTGATAAAAGGTTAGTTTTAATGAATACAAAATTGCTGTGTAAAATAAGTGTTTTCAAATATATTTCTATAGGTAGAGAGTATCTTTTAGTAAAAGAGCAGTTATCTGTGAGCAAAAGTATATATTGAGAACTGGGCAGCAAACAAAAGGGATTTAAAAGTGTAACAGTGCAGGCCCTCCAGGCCCCACATAACCAATACTGGGTGGCAGCTCGCCCTAAGTAGCACTTGAACATACACACGGTTTACACTGTCTGCAAACACGTTCTCACTTTTTCTTTGTACAGTATCATGAAATCGTGGCAGGACTGTCCAATGGGCCTGCACAGCCTTCACCGCTGGCAGTGATTCCACAGGAAAGGGGCAAATGAGCAAAGCACCACAGTACTTTTTGTAGTACAGCTTCATAACTAATTAATTCTGACCATCTCATTTTTCATCTGGCCAAAGACACAAAAACAAAACCACCCTCCTCTCATCCTCTGCTTAATCATTTTCTTTTCCAACTCCTACCACTAAAGATAGCAACCCTGAACCAGCACCTCCACTCCTTCCACTCAAGTCAGCCTTCTTTAACGTACCACCTTCTAGGAATGCATTTCCCTGCTTCAGCAAAAATGCTGAGAAAAGCCGGCCCCTGAAGCCTCAGCATCCCTGGGCATTCTTCACAGGGGGCACATGAGGACAAGCAAGGGCCGAGGCCTCAGCACAGAGGGCAGAATCTGCACAGCTTCAACTGCTGGCACCTCCTCCAGACTGTCAGCACAGGTGTGGAAAGTCTCATTCTCAGAAGACACAGAAATGGGTATTTCACAAAATGAAGGAAATGGCAACTGAAAATTGTTGGAACAGTCTGTGTGTAATAAAATGATCACTGCTCTTTGCCTCCCGCTGTAAAACCATTAACAAAGGGAGCAGTGGAAGGAAGCTGGGATCTGGAATGCCTGGCAGCATTTGGGTCTGGGGGCTGGTGACAGGTCCAGGTTCACAGAGACGTCCAGGGCCATGCCGTTGGGGCAGGACAGTGGCTGGGGAGAGGTCTGGGTTCACAGAGGCCTCCAGGGCTATGGCCTTGGGGCAGGACAGTGCCCAGAGAGAGGTCTGGGTTCAGAGAGGTGCACCTACCATAGGACTCCGATTTCCACTGCAGAGGAGGATCTTCTAAACACGCATTACAGAAAAATAAAGTGCAGTATAAAAGTACAAAAGGTTGGTTTCTCAACAGGTCAAATGTTAATTTTCCTTAAAAAGTTATTTTTAAAATTAGTTGAGTAAAAATAGTTTGATTCCCACTGTGTGTATGAGTCTTAGCTGCAATATAAAAACTGGAGCTCATGGGGATTCTGATTTTCTCCACAGTGTGGTGTAACCAGCCCTAGTGGAGAGCATTACAGAAAGGCTGGTGATGAGCTCTCTGCAGTAGTGGCTTTAAAGGTTACCTCGTGCCAGGATCCAGAGACTTCCTAAAATTCACCCCCAAAAGCCTGCTTTTAAAAAAGCTACTGAAGTCTAACCACGTGCCTCATTCAACAGTTCTGTTCGGTTACTTGGTAAACAGGTATGTGGGCGGATGGATTAGAAGCATTGAACTATAGCAGCAAGACTGGCTTCAGGCGATGTGCACAAACGGGCGAAAGGCAGGTGGGAGTCTCCATACCGCGCCCTTTGTCGTAAAGGACCTGGCACCAGGCAGCGGTCTCTACCACCTGGGACCCTCCGAGTCAATCTGAGTTTGTTTCTAGATGTCAATCAAGCATGCTCCTCAACCATTAGTCAGTCAGGCCAGCTGAAATCAAAGAAACCCAATTGCTGAACTGAACATCCACGGACTTGGAAACTGAATCTAACTGAGTGGTTAGTAAGGAGGAAGAAAAATGCAAAGGGAAATTTCAACTCACAAAATACAAAGCATAACATAGTAATGAAATACAAATGCTAAAAGTACTTCGTACAAAAAAAAAAAAAAAAAAAAACCCCACATCAAAAGTTTAAAAAGAAATGGCATTCTCAGGCACAGATGCTGCAACACACGGACTCTCCTCTCACGATCTCATGGAAAACACCACTGTGCGACTCATGTGGAATGTTTTCTTTTTATCCGGAAAAGTGTTTTCTGAAAAAAAAAAAGAAAACACATTTAAACAGGAGTGGTGCAGGGTCCCCTGCTCTCACCACTGACAAGAGTGATTTTTCTTGGTAACAAGAAAGGGGACACGCTGAACAAAGGTTGGGTGTGTAGGACCACCGATTTCAAGGAATCAAAGCACCACTCTCCAGGCTCTTGGAAGTTGGGAGCACTGCTCGAAATACACAGAAATGAAATAATTTTATGTATCTGAAGTTCTCGTAATCCAGTAATCGAACTTTCAGAAACAGGAGCTAGCAGCGAGACCAGAGAAAATGAGCCATCGCCTGCCCGTCCCTCCCACCTCAACGAGCCCAGCCGTGTCCTGGTTCTTCCTTCCCGCTGTTCCTGTCAGCGCCACCCCAGCTGGCTGCGTAGGATTGGCCTCTGGAGTCAGGAACACCTGATGAAAGCTCGGCTCTGGCATGCCAAGGACGACAGGCAAACCACCCGCAGCCCCTGCAGCAGCTCGTCTCCTTATCAGTGAGTAAACGTGGACTCAGCACATCCCACCACAATCGTTCTAAGGTTTAAAGACGGTCATGTGCACCTGGGTGACGGGATCGGCTAAGCTGTACGTGTGTTTCTGTACTTCTCTGCGTGCACATCGCATTTTACAATAAGCCTCCCAGGACAGGGGCTTTGTGTTGGTGGCCATGGCCTCCCCAGCATGCCCCTCTAGGTCCTTCTTTAATTACCTGTCGGGAAGACTCCTGACACGTGTCCCAACCTCCCAGCTCCTTGCCTTCTATCTAATCTATCCTGTGGCACGTGCCGGCGGGACCACCCTCAGCCACCAATCACCTTCCTGGTTTCAGTATTGCCTTGCCTCCAGAGTGAAGCCTCTGACCTGGAGTGGAGAGCTTCTACGGTCATCTCCAGCTTCTCCTCTGTTCCCAGATGGGCCACACTGACACACCCTGCTGAGCCCTAACCACACCTACCCATGAAATCTGTGTTGTCAGAGCAGCCCATGTGCCCCTCTCTCCTTTGGACTCTTGGGTCGTGAACTGACCTTTCACCCTTTCCTCTGGGGAGGAGATGGTCCATCCCGCAGGAGGACAGCCCACACCATCCACAGGACACAGGTAGACACGGGCCCTTCCTAGTCCTGGGTCCATGGTGTCTGCAGATTCCTTTTGAGAAGTGAGGCTGGCGCAAATGAGGCCAGACTTCCGGCGGTGGGAGCAGGACGGGCTGGAGAGCCGGAGGCTGTAACCCCAGGAGCTTGGTGTCCACCCAGGGGGCCGACGGACATGCATCATCCTCCCCCTTCACATCAGCTTGCTTGTATTTTTCATCTGCACAAGCTACTGATAACACTTTATTATTGTCCTTGAAGAGATGTTTTCAGCATGAATGAACTTCCAAATTCATGACTAATAAAAGTGTTTTTAAAATGTAATTTTTTTCCCTTATTAATCATATTTGTAAGCTTAGAAAATACGAAAAATCTTCAAAATAAAGGACAAGAAAAATTATCAATGTTGGTCTCATGAAACATCTCCAGCTGTCCCCCTCCTCCAGTGCTCTGGGCAGTGTTGCCAGCTAGAAGGCCCAACACCCTGACCCTGCCTCCCCGGGACACCCTGCAGCATGAGTCCAGTGGGGAGGGGGTCCCCACTCTTAGAGCAGCCTTCCTCCTAACAGCGAGTGCGTAACGACAGAGCTTCACAGCTGCCACAGCGATGAGCCGTCAAAGGAGGAGGCTGCCCCAACAGCAGGCTGAGAAGAGAAGCTGCCGGCTCCGGCGGCTCCCACGGCTCCGGCGCCCGCAGCACGCTCCAGTGGCTCCGGCTCACCTCACGCGTGGTGCCCGTGCGCGCTGCCGTCACCGTCCCCCGCCTGCCTCTGCATCTGCATCTGCGCCTGCATCCTCGCGATCATCTCCTGCATGCGGCGAAGCTGCAAACGCACAGAATTGCAGACACTTCAGTCTCAGTCTCTCTGCTTAAATGTGATTTACACGCACTCTGCAATTCCTGAAATTTTAATTTCTAGGCTTTTCCAAAACGTGACCAAGAGCTAACAGACAAAGAACTGTTACAAATCAGCAAGGACAGGACCAACTCAGCGGAACACTGAGTGATAAGAATGTGCAATTCAAATAAGAAATATGAACAAGCAACAAAGATAAAACAAAGCGAATGCTTTTTAACCTCAAAGGTGGGCAGAGACTGGTGACACTCAGTGGGGATGGGAATTAAATGGGGATGAGAAATGCCCGGCTTTTCTAGTGGGCAACCAGGCCCTAGCTGTTCCAATATTAAAAGTTTATGCGCCTTTCTCCTTAGGGAACACTGCTTGCCTCCCTCAACCAGCAGATCTGAATGCCACCTTTATCACACGGCAGTTCTCCACATGCGGGGTCAGTTTCTCCTGTGCCTGTACCAGTTTGGGTGGCGACCGCTCTCTAACTCGTTTACAACCCGAAAAGCAAGTCTCTTCTCATCAGTCTGTTTTTTACAGAGCTTCCTGTTTTCCCCATGTTTATTCTTCAAATAAAAGTTAAAATTATTCTATCAAGCTTTCTGCTAAAAGAGGGCCCTGGTGACACAGTGGTTAAGAGCTCAGCTGCTAACCAAAAAAAGGTCGGCAGTTCAACTCCACCAGCCACTCCCTGGAAACCCTATGGGGCAACTCTACTCTGTCGTATGGGGTCACCGTGAGTTGGAATCGACTCCGTCGCAACAGGTGTGGTTTGGTTTTGGTTCTGCTAAAAGAAAAAACTTAGCAAACACACACACAACCCTGCTGTGATTTTTTGGGTGACATTAATTTAGGGAGAACTGTGATGTTCACACTTGAGTCTTCCTCCCCTAAAAAACTTGTCTCCCTTGAAATCTTTTAAAACGTTTTTCAACAGTTTTCTAATTTCTTCCTCCCAATGGGTCCTGTGTACTTTGGACACGTTATCGGGGGGGACCAGTCCCTGGAGAACATCATGCTTGGTAAAGTAGATGGTCCCACCACGCATCTGTCAGTTTGCTGTACTGTGGTGGCTTGCATGTTGCTGTGATACTGGAAACTTTGTCATCGAGACTTCAAATACCAGCAGGGTCACCCTTGGTGGACAGGTTTCAGTGGAGCTTCCAGACTGAAACAGACTACGAAGAAGGACCTGGCAGTCCACTTCTGAAAAAATTAGCCAGTTAAAACCATATTAATAGCAGCAGAACATTGTCTGATATCGTGCCAGAAGATGAGCTCGTCAGGTTGGAAGGCACTCAAAAGACAACTGGGGAAGAGCTGCCTCCTTAAAGTAGAGCCGACCTTAATGACGTGGATGGAGTCAAGCTTTGGGGACCTTCATTTGCTGATGTGGCACAACTCAAAATGAGAAGAAACAGCTGCAAACATCCATTAACAATCAGAACGTGAAATGTACGATGTATGAATCTAGGAAAATTTGAAGCTGTCAAAAATGAAATGGAATGCATGAACATTGATATCCGAGGCATTAATGAGCGGAAAAGGACTGGTATTGGCCATTTGGAATCATACAATCATATGGTCTACTATGCCGGGAATGATGGATTGAAGACGAACAGCGTTGCGTTCATCGTCAAAAAGAACATTTCAAGATCCATCCTGAAGTACGATACTGTCAGTGATAAGATAATATCCACACGCCTATAAGGAAGACCAATTAATACGACTATTATCCAAATTTACACACCAACCACTAATGCCAAAGATGAAGAAATGGAAGATTTTTACTAACTTCTGCAGTGTGAAATTGATCAAACATGCAATCAAGAAGAATTGATAATTACTAGTGATTGGAATGCAAAAATTAGAAACAAAGAATGATTGGCAGTTGGAAAACACAGCCTTGGTGATAGAAATGACGCTGGAAATCACATGACAGAATTTTGCAAGATCAATGACTTTTTAACTGCAAACACTTTTTATCAACAACATAAATGGCAACTATACAGCTGGGCCTCGCCAGATGAAATCACAGGAATCAAATCGACTACATCTGTGGGAAGACACGACAGAAGAGCTCAACATCATCAGTCAAAACTAGGCCAGGGGCTGACTACAAAACAGACCATCAATTGCTCATATGCAAGTTAAAGTAGAAACTGAAGAAAATTAGAGCAAGTCCACGAGAGCCAAAGTACAACCTTGAGTATATACCACCTGAATTTAGAGACCATCTCAAGAACAGATTTGATGTACTGAACACTATGAACGAAGACCAGGAGAGCTGTGGAATGACATCAAGGACATCATACATGAAAAAGGCAAGAGATCATTAAAAAGATGGGAAAGAAAGAAAAGCCCAAAATGGATGTCAGAAGGGACTCTGAAACTTCCTCTTGAATGTCGACTAGCTAAACCAAAAGGAAGAGATGATGAAGTAACCAAGAATCGAACAGCAGATTTCAAAGGGTGGCTCAGGAAGACAAAGTAAAGTATTATTATGAAATGTGCAAAGACCTGGAGATAGAAAACCAAAAGGGAAGAACATGCTTGGCACTTCTCAACTGAAAGAACTGAAGAAAAAATTCAAGGCTCGAGTTGCAATCCTGAAGGATTCTATGGGCAAAATATTAAACGATGCAGGAAGCATCAAAAGAAAATGGAAGGAATACACAGAGTCACTGTACCAAAGAGAACTGGTCGACATTCAACCACTTCAGGAGGTAGCATATGATCAGCAACTGATGGTACTGAAGGAAGAAGTCCCAGCTGCACTGAAGGCACTGGTGAAAAACAAGGCTCCAGAAACTGATGGAATACCAGTTGAGATGTTTCGGCAAATGGATGCAGTGCTGGAGGTGCTCATTTGTCTATGCCAAAAAATTTGGAAGACAGCTACCTGGCCAACTGACTGGAAGAGATCCGTATTTGTACCCATTCCAAAGAAAGGTGTCCAACAGAATGTGGAAATTATCAAACAATATCATTAATATCACACACAAGTATGATCCACTGTGTGGATCCTAACAAATTATGGATGACACTGAGAAGAATGGGAATTCCAGAACACTTAGTTGCGCTCATACGGAAAACGTACATAGAACAAGAGGCAGTCGTTTGAACAGAACAAGGGGATATTGCATGGTTTAAAATTAGGAAAGGTGTGGGTCAGGGTTGTATCTTGTCACAGTACCTATTCAATCTGTATGCTGACCAAATAATCGGAGAAACTGGACTGTATGAAGAAGAATAGGGCATCAGGATTGGAGGAGGACTCATTAACAACCTGTGATGTGCAGATGACACAACCTTGCTTGATGAAAATGAAGAGAACTTGAAGCACTTACTGATGAAGATCAAAAACCACGGCCCTCAGTATGGATTACACCTCAACATAAAGAAAACAAAAGTCCTCACAACTGGACCAAAAACCAACATCATGATAAACAGAGAAAAGACTGAAGTTGTCAAGGATTTCATTTTACTTGGATCCACAGTCAACACCCATGGAAGCAGCAGTCAAGAAATCAAATGACGTATTGCACTGGGCAAATCGGCTGCAAAAGACCTCTTTAAAGTGTTAAAAAGCAAAGATATCACCGTACGGACTAAGGTTGTGCCTGACCCAAGCCATGGTATTTTCAATCACCTCATATGCATGTGAAAGCTAGACAATGAATAAGGAAGACCAAAGAAGAACCGATGCCTTTGAATTACGGTGTTGGCGAAGAATACTGAATATATCACGGACTGCCAGAAGAACCAACAAATCTGTATTGAAAGAAGTGCAGCCAGAATGTTCATTAGAAGCAAGGATGGTGAGACTACATCTCACATACTTTGGACGTGATGTCAGGAGGGACCAGACCCTGGAGAAGGACATCATGCTTGGTAAAATAGAATGTCAGCAAAAAAGAGGAAGACCCTCAATGAGATGGACTGACGCAGTGGCTGCAACAATGGACTCAAGCATCACTATGATTGTGAGCATGGCCCAGGACCAGGCAGTGTTTCCTTCTGTAGTACACAAGGTCGCTATGAGTCAGAACCGACTCCACGGCAGCTAACAGCAACATGTATATTACACATGCGTGAATGTAAGTATATAATTACGTGCAGAAGAACAAATAAAATGAAACAGGCTAGTCATATGCAGTGTTATTCCTTCTCAAAAAATTAAGGAAAGAAAACTGAAAGTTGATTACAAATAACATTTTTGGATGTAAACTACCCAGCTTTAGACGTAAGAATACTAATCCTTTTCTACTTACTTCAGCTTCCTTTTCCAGCAAGATCTGGTCTTTATTCATGTCCTCATTCTCTACTTTTCTAAGGGTTGAAAGAAATTACAATTACAATATTGCAACGAATATGGTTGATTATTTCTGATGACTGACACCCAAAGAAAAACGTCACTTTACAATTCTGAGAAACATTCTGTGTAAAATTGCATGCATTTATTATTTTTCTGATTAAAAACATGAGTAAGTGAGGCGGGAACGGACTGAGACAAAAGGGCCAATGGCATGACATGGACAATCCAAGACTGTCCTCTCTAAGCTGAGTGGTGACTCTGTCGTCTTCTCCTGCTCAGGAAATAAGCCGTCATCTGAGGAGCACTCTGAGGTAAGTTACTCCTCATGAGCACAGATCACCACCACGGCCTGAGTCTGAAGGGCTGGGCACACACCAGCTCCCACCACATCATGAGAACGGCTGGAGGGGGCCAGGGCTGCCTTCTCCGGCACAGGCGGGAGTGACAGACATTCCCCACGCCATATCACAGGCCCTTCTTAAAGGAGGAACGGGACCCGCCCGTCTTCACGAAGGAAGCAGAGGGCAGTGGGCGGCAGCAGAGCCCCTGCAGGCTGCCTGGCCTGCCACCTTCCTCAGCGTCTGGTTCCCAAATTCACAGCACACTAACTTGGACTTCAGTATGCACCTCGTGTGTATGCAGAACCCATTGCGTTATTAAAACGTTGAGTATTTTAATGAACTACAATACAGAAAATTTTTTTTAATAAGTGACGTATATCGCTCTGTACTAAGTGGAGACGTGGTTTTGTTAGGTACAAATCAGGTCACCAAACAAAGACCTCACATGAGAACCCATGGCTGCTGAGAAGCAGTTCACCATGGCTCACTCCTCAGCTGGTGAGCGGCTGCTTCTCAGCGGCAAACACATTTTTCCTCATTTATGGACAGAGCGATGCTCTCAGGAAGGGACCCAGCACGTCTCTGGCCTTTTCATCTTAAGCTGTTCTTTATTTGCTGACCACCAAGGCTACCTCTTCTTTTTAACTCTCGAGTCCCCTGGAGTAGCTTTTGAGTAGGAAACCAGAGCATGTTGCTTAGAGGACAAGAAGGCTGAGCTGGATGGACAGGGGCATGACTTGGGGAAACACAATATGGATGGGGTGGGGGAGACAAAGGGACTTGGGGCGACACCACACACACAGAGAAGGGGACCACCTGCCGCCTCTCTTGAGCCTCTCGGAGCGGAAGTTCTCATAGTGGAGGTCCTGGGTCACCTCCTGGAGGTCCTGCATGTGAGTTCTGAAAGAGAAAAGGATGCCTACACTGAGCCCGGTGCCGGGGCACACCCACGTGTGCTCAGCCCCACGCTGAGATACACACGTCGTCTTCATGGAAGAATAACCAACCGAGTCCATGGAAGAAACGCCAGCTACTAATGCCCACTTAGACTTGATAAATGGTACACAAAGACGCCCAAAATCTAGGATAAGGGAGTGCAGCTATGGACACATCCAGTGAGGCGTATCTCTCCCTTGCTGCCACAAGGATGCACTGGAGGGGCCAGAGTGACAGTCCTCGCACTGGACCTTTGCCCGGGCACTGCCAGCCCATCTGGGGCCATCGCCCAGGGGAGCAGGTACACAGGAACCTCAGGAGTCTTGGGAACGCAACATCCGGAACGGAAAAGACTTTGCTAAAGGTACTCCTGGAGAACAGGTACTTCCAACAGTCTCACATTGTCAAGTTTAAACTCATACATGACTTACGTCATGGAGAGCTGACAAGCATGAGTGACAGAGAGGCCCACAGAGGGACGCCCCAGTGTTCTGGATCCAGCAGCAGCCCAACTCTCAGCCTGCCGCTTATCTCAGGAAACAGTCATCCCCAGCGTCTCCTCATTCAGCTCTTTCAAATACACACGCACTGCAGGGTGAGCAAACATTCAACACATCCCCGTTGACTCAAACCGGAGCTCTGGCGGGTTTGAGTAAGGCTGGCAGTGCGAATCCACCAGCCCCTCTGTGGAAACCCTAGGGGGCAGTTCTACTCTGTCCTACAGGGTCCTTATGAGTCAGAATCGACTCGACGGCAATGGGTTTGGTTTTGGTTTCCGTTCACTCAGGATGCAGGGACACGGGGTGGGTTATGGCAAAGGGGACCCTCATTCTTCCTCATTCTGAGAAACGCACCCAAACAAAAACCAAACTTAACTGCCTTTGAGTCGATTCCGACTCATAGCAACCCCGTTGGGTTTCCAAGGCTGTAAATCTCTATGGAAGCAGACTGCCACATCTTTCTCCCACGGGGCTGCTGGTGGTTTCGAAGCACCGACCTTTCAGTTAGCAGTTAATTGCTTTAACCACTGCCCCACCAGAGCTCCCTGAGAAACACACAGTTGACACCAAAGTGGAAGTCCCTGTCCAAGGACCCCAGTACTGGAGGGACTGCGAGTACCCATTAACACTTGACATGATGGTTAAATTATGCTTGACACAGCCTGACGCTAGAATCTGACTGATTTTAGTTCACTGACAATGGCCAAGCCGAGTGATGCATGTGTGGCATACAAAGCAATCCTCAGTTTATCAAAGTATTAATCTATACAGATCAGCCATTCTGTAAACTCTGATTAAACAGCTATTGTATCGTACGTTAAGCGATCCTCTCTCTTGGCCTCCTCACTCATGAACAAGACCGTGTGTGTACGTTACTAGATGTGGCATTAGTTTTAGAAGAAGACAGTCTATTTCTGTAGTCGCGTCTGCTGCAGCTGTGGGCCAGGATCGAGGGGTCCCGAGGGCCCCCTGGCCCACCCAGAGCGAGCACCGGAGGCTGACTCGTAGCAGCACAACAGTTCACTGGGCCTGGAGAAGAGGCTGTTTGTTGGTCCTGCAGTGAGTTTTGCCATTTCCTCACTAGAACAGGAAATCTTTACTTTCTGGTGCTGTCATGACACAGTTTAGGTCTGCTCTACTTTAAGCACCAAACGAGGTCTTAGGGGGACATTAAGCCACAGGCATGTCTGGAAAAGGCTGGGCCGACGGTCACATGTAGCCCCCAGGGAGGCTGGCAGCAGAGCTGAGCAGGTCCACTGACACCCCAGTGCCAAGGCGGAGACACCGAGACGGGAGGAAAGCTGCCCCTGAGGGTCCCGAGGGTCTTACATGAGCATGGTCCTCAACTTCAGGAAGTCGTTGTGCTCTGGGTTCTCCACCTCCACCACCCCCCACGGGTAGAGGCGGCCTCGGACCTTCTTGCCTTTGGCTTCAATCAGCTGGTTGGATCCAACCACCGAAAATGGGATACTGGCCTAAAGAGAGACACAGGTGGACAAACCTCACGTCAGGGAACCCCGATTTTCACTGTGGACACAGTGCGTTAGCAAATACTTAGCACATCCCTGTCTACTACCAAGCTTAATTGGAAAGACGCGGGTATAAAGTGTTTTACTTGGAAGTTCCAGATATTTTCCACATGGGACAAATGGTCTGAAAACAAGTTATACTTGCAATAAAAAATTCAGCAATAAGAATTCCAGATATATTTAAATAAAAAATGCTATTGTAACTGAAGGAAAACCCTGGTGGCGGAGTGGTTAAAGAGTTCGGCTGCTAACCAAAAGGTCAGCAGTTCGAATCCACCAGGCGCTCCTTGGAAACCCTAGGGGGCAGTTCTACGCTGTCCCATAGGGTCGCTATGAGTCGGAATTGACTCGATGACAACGGGTTTGTTTTTTTTGGTATTGTAACTGAAGCTAGCTGGACAACCTCTGGAGGGCCCCACATCCCAGGGCTTGGCCCTTTGACAACTCTTTAAGAGCACACAAACCAGAAAACAGGCGTCAGTCACGCTGTGGGCCAGGACTGAGTGCTTACCTTAAGAAGCCTGGTCTGCTCTTTAAAATCTTCATCCTCATCTGACTCTGCATCAGGTAAGTGATAGATTTTGATGCTATGTTCTTCAATTTCATCCAGAATCTAAAAGAATGACAAAACCAGGAGCAATTTTAGCAAACTTCACATTATTTTAGCCAAGTTTAACATATCAGGAACACATCCAAATTATCCAAATGTCAGCGCGATGCAATGGATCTCTTCTGTGTGGCCTTTCTTGCCATGGTCTTGTAACTCCCACCCAAGTGATCGGGCGGGACTGTGCAAACAGGGTAATTGTGGCCCACCAAGGGGATTGGTCAGTTGTGACATCCTGCTGGGCTTGAAATGAGCCATCCAAGAGGTGAGAAAGGGAGGATCCCACCGGCACCAAGAACAGCCAGGAGTGGAGAGTGTGTCCTTTGGACCCGGGATACCTGTGCTGAGAAGCTCCTGGAACCAGGAGATACAGCAAGTGTGAGATGCAGTACCAGAGAAACAGCTGCAGGAGAGACAGCAAGGTGGGCTTCCTGGCCCATGGAGTGAGAAACCTGAGTGCTGTTGGGCAGGAGGCTTGCTGGAGGAGTAGGGTGCTTCTGGGCACTTGGTGGAGATAGGGCTGCTGACCCACAGAGCCAGAGCTGAGTGCCTTCGGGCCGAGGCTTACTCGTGGAGTGGGGAGCCTCTGGACACTTACAGTCAGAGAAAAAAGAGCTTTATAACACTTGCCCAAGCAAGATAGAGGTCGAGGGCCACAGAGAGGCGTGCCTGTAAGCACAGCTGGGAAGAGGCTGTCCTGATGGAAGACCTGTATCCTGAGTGTTCCTGAACCTAAACTGTAACCTGTGACTTTCCTAATAAACCCCATAATTCTGAGTATTGTCTGTGAGTTCTGTGTGGCCACTGCAATGAGCTATCGAACACAGCAGAGAAGTAAAGAGTACTGTGAGGGGGGACGGTTGGTGTCAGAACTGGTAAAGATGGCAGAGAAAGGAGGCATGTCTGACCTCCGCCTCATAGGAATCAGCCTTGGACTGTTGATCTTCCTTCCCCTTTGGGAAGATGGAGGTCAGACACTGCCCCCACACCCTTTCTACAGTCAACAAAGAATCAAATTGATGACTAAAATTATTTTCAAATGATTTATGAGCTGCCAGAAAGGCATTTCTGTTTGACTTTTTGAGGCCTCCTCTGTCCCGGACACCAGCAGCAGCAGCACCCTCAATGTTCCAAGTGTGACAATGACCAACGACAGCCCTGCCTGGCAGCGTGACTGGCCCAAGGCCAAGTGCAGCAGAGAAGAAGGGAGAGATGCTGCAGGCAGAGCGGAGCCAGGGCCGGCTGACGGGCACCAGGAGGACAGACAGGAGCTTCACCAGGAGAGGCGGGAAAGGCACCTCAGGAGGACAAACACACACCTTGTCCAAGGCACCGAGGGGAGTACATACAGGTCTGTTTAGGAACAAGAACCCGAGCGTGGCTGGAATCTAAGACCTCTATTTGGGTAAGTGCAAAGACAGGAACACACCAGGGTTAGCAACGGAGAGCTCTGAATACCGGGCTAGGGATCTGGATTTTACTCAATGGGGAACGAGCAGGCAGTGGAATATCATGGCTTCAACCATCAACCAGGCAGTGGAGGGCTGGGTGACCTGGAAGGAGGAAAAACCAGCCTGGAAATAAGCACGACTCACCGGTCAATGCCCGCTGCGTGCTGGCCTCTCTCCCAAGCGCCAGGCAGGCTGGAGCCCTGCTCACTGTGCCTGGGGGTAGTGCGACAGCCTGCCTTTATATGGCCTTTCTCACCATGGTCTTGTAACTGCCACCAAATGACTGAGTGGGACGATATAAACGAGGTGCTTGTGACCCACCAAGGGGATTGGATAGCTTGCTAATAATGTAAATAACATGTATGGCACTCTTGCAGGGGTGGGACCATGCAAATAAAGCACATGGAACCCTAACGAAGGCGTGGGTCAGTCTTGCCATCTTGCTAGGCTTAAAGTGAGACACGGGGGCGCGGAGAGGGGGAGGGGGCGAGGGGGGCGGGAGAGACAGAGAGAGAGGAGCTGTAACACAGAAGACAGCGAGAGACAGTGGCTCAGTGACGAGCACAGGACAGCAGGAACCAGGAGGCCGGCGCAAGACGGCTTCGGTGGGGCTTGCCAACCCGAGCAGCTAAGAGTTGTAACACTTGCTGAGAAGGCTTTGAGCAGGACCTGGTGGCAGAAGCCCCAGCAGGGCCCAGAAGCAGGAAGGCTCCCAGCAGGGCCCAGCGGCAGGAAGGCTCCCAGCAGGGCCCAGTGGCAGGAAGGCCCCAGCAGGACCTGGTAGAAGAAGGCCCCCAGCAGGGCCCAGTGGCAGGAAGGCCTCAGCAGGACCTGGAGGGAGAAGGCCCCCAGCAAGACCTGGTGGGAGAAGGACCCCAGCAGGACCTGGTGGGAGAAGGACCCCAGCAGGACCTGGTAGGAGAAGGCCCCCAGCAGGGCCCAGCAGCAGGAAGGCCCCAGCAGGACCT